ACCTGTGTGTGTGTGTGTGTGTGTGTGTGTGTGTGTGTGTAAGCAAGTACCTCCAAAGAACACCCCGATCGTCTCATCTCAGGTATCTACGGTGTCCATCTCAAGTTCAACGACAAGCACATCCCCGGCTCCCCCTTCATGGTCAATGTTGCCCCCGACAGCGGAGTCGCCAGACAGGTCACAGTTCACTCGCTCAAGGACAAGGGCCTGGCTGTGAGTAAACTCGTAGTAGTGGGAAGAAAGGGTTTGCGTTTGTTGCGTGACTGTGCCTTGTAAAACTAAAAGTAGTTGGTTGGCGGGTGCTCTGCTGTGGTTTGCTTCTTCTTTCCTATGAAACACCTGTCGCCCGTATCTCCCATTCTTTTTATGTTTTTACGGGGTGACCACTACGGACGGGATCGGCCGATGGGGCCGATCGCCCGACTCGATCGCCTCAAAAACAAACGTGTTTGTTTTCAGTTTCAGGCGATCGAGCCGGGCGATCGGCCCGATCCAGCCCTAGTGGGCTCTATGGTAACACATCTATACTTCTGGCGCTCATGTGACCTTATGCAGTTGCAAGTGCCGTAAAACCTCTACTAAAACTAAAACTAACAAAAAAATTACCCCCCCCAAAAAAAAGGAGAAATAGCTCTTTCGACAACTGCTCCCTCAGTGTGGAATTTCATCTCACTGCCTTTAAGAGAAGTCTACTTTGACCGCATTTGAATCTGGTCTCAACGCACTTTTATTTACATCCCATTTTACAAACTAATTTGATTCTTCTTCGCACGGCACATGTCGTCATTAGACACAGTAGTGAGTCTCTTGTTGGGCATGCTCTTCGTCAGAATACGGGTTTATGATATTATGTATTTGAAAGACTTGTTCTACATTGAATGGACCAGTTCGCATGAAATGTTCATTTAAATCTCATTTTGTTGTAAAACTCCTTGAGCCACCAGAAAGTAGGTGCTATTATAGCAGTGGCATCATTATTACAATATCCTATTTTTATTACTATTATAATTACTATTATTACTGTTATCACTATTATTTCAATTAATATTATTATTATTTAT